AACATATACTTATGTCCATATAATCAAAAATAATTTGACAAAATTTAAACCCATTCATGGTAAAAACTAACAACAAACCTGGGATAGACAGAAACTTCTTAAATCTGACCAGGACATTTACAAAAGGTTTATGGCTAGCATTACATTTGATTACAAGAGACTGAATGCTCCCTCTGTAATGTATGATCAGGAAGAAGGTCAGGATGTCCACTCACATGACTTAAATTAACACCACAGTGCAATTTCTAGCCAGTCAAGCAATGTGAGAAAAATAATAAAAGGCATCCAGATTACACATAAATAAAAGTGTCTTTATTTGCAGTTGACAATAATATATGTAGGAAATACTAAGGATTGTTACTGGGTGTCTTTTTCTATAGAGATTGACAAGCTGATTCTCAAGTTTAGAATGGTCAAAACAATATTGAGAAATAACTAATTTGGAGAACTTACACTACTGGATTTTAAGAATTATTGTAAATTACAGTAATAGCGTGGTGTAGAGTTAAGGTGTTGAGATAGATATCCTACGGGTGGGTGGATGCATGTGTGTGTGTGTGTTTGTGGTGTATACAACAAATATAGTGTTCATAGACACATTTATTCAAGGATAGTTTTTTTTTTCTATTAAAGAATAATAGAATCTTTTAACAAATGGTTCAGGAATTAAATTTTTCATAGAGAAAGAAATGAATCTGGACCCTAACCTCACACCATACACAGAAATAAATTGGATTATAGATCTAAAAGCTAAAACTCTGAAATTTTAGAAACATGATTAAATCTTTATGACTTTATGTTCAGCAAAGATTTCTTAGGACATAAAAAGATCTACCCATAAAAGGAAAATTTGATAAATTGGACTTCTTCAAAATTAGAATCTTGCTCCTTGAAAAACACTATTAGGAAAATGAAAGGCAAGCTACAGACTGGGAGCTGTGTGTACTTCCAGTACATGTAGCCTGACACAGGTCTCGTATAAGTAAGAAGACAAGAACATAATTAAATGTGAGCCAACAATTTGAACAGACACTTTGTCAAGGAAGTCATAATCCCTTGGGAAGCCTGAAAAGCATATGAAAACATGTATCCTACATCAGGGATTGGAGAACTACAAACCATGGACCGAATCTTGTTCATTGACTCTTTTTGTAAACAGAGTTTTATTGGAATGCAGTCACACCCATATGGCTGTTCTCCTGCCATCATGGCAGAGTTGAGTAGTCGTTAAAGAGTCCAGGTGGCCCACAAAAGCCGAAAATATTTACTATCTGCCTGTCTACAGGAAAAGTTTACTCACCCTTTGTCTAAAGGATACACTCTTTCTACGTGAGCAAACACCAGTGGAGAAATTTGGCATGATTTACTGTGTTTTTTTCCAAGATAATCCTCATTTTGGGGGGCGGGGGTAGTTATTTTCCACAATCAAGTCATCTTTTTTTCGTTTTATTTATTGTTTTTAGACAGAGAAACATCGATTTGTTGTTTCCCTTATACATTCAATGGTTACTTCATATGTGTGCCCTGACCGACGATCAAACCTGCAACCTTGGTATATTGGGACAACAGTCTAACCAGCTGAGCTTCCCAGCCAGGGCCTTCTTTTCTTATTTTTCGTTGTAGTTATTTCATTGTGAGTGACCTAAAAAATTCATGTTAAAGGCAAAATTTAACTTACATCAGCACCTCCTTAAGTCTTGGTGACTTATGTAATATTAGAAAGCACTCACTTTGAGGAACTATACTTCAAGGTCAAAACAGGGATGTAGCTTCATGATGTTGAGAAGAAGTTAGTACCAAGAGAAACTGTACTGAAAACAACTTGCTTTAAACAGTTTGTATTTATTTTCTTGAGCAAGTTAAGTGATGACTGCAAGTAAGCAAGGATGGGAATTGAAAGCATGTGTAGCTGTTCTGGGGACTGACTAGTCCCACTGCCCAGGTGGTCTCCACTCACAAATGTTTTTTTCACTGGAAGGAGAGCCTCTCTTTATAGTTGGCAAGTGGTGGTCAGTGATCAAACACACCAGAGAGATCCAAGAAGGCAATGTTAGTGGTCTAGTGAGCCAATCTTATATGCTAATTGGGAAGTCTGGACACCACATATGACTCATATTCTTATTTATTTGTTGGTGCATCATCTGTGTTCTCATTGGCTGGGATCTAAGTTATATAAACCATTACATCATTGGTTGTATAAGTTGTTTACATAAAACCTGCTTTGACTTTAGGGTACAGCAGGTGTTAATTTCCTTTTGAATGAGATAGTCATATGCTTATTTGTAACTTGTTTGCAATATTGATTACTTTTGAGAAAAACAGGTTTTCATCCAAGGGAACATTTTTGGTGGAAAAGGTTGTTTACCACTTTCAATTATAGCAAATGTGTTTTTCACTCCTATTAAAATGTAGGATAACGTATCCTTTATAGACAATGCATTCTATGTACCACAATAAAGTCCCAGCATTATTTAACTTACTTAAATTTAATATGGTAATTGCTATTTTTCTATGTTAGTATAATTTAATATAGTTTATGAACATAAAAATGATTTTTCTATATTTAAATATCAGAATATTTTTACTGGAAGTACAGTAACATGAACTCTATGAAATTTTTTTTTCTTTATTATATTTGACCATTAGCTAATCATCAGTTTGATAGCCAAGCAAAATTGCATGTTGTAGGGAAATTTGCCAACTGGGGCAAAATTTACTGAAAGAATATCTAAGATCATCTTTGATTTCCCCGTGCTTTCCACTACACCATACTTGTGCAAGTCCTTTCAACTTTAAAATGAACCTTAAATCCATTCTCTTCAGCTGTTCATCTCCCACCCCTTTCCCAGCCCAAGCTGTTTTCATCTTTTACTTAGTGTTTTAGTCAGAATAGACTGTATTTAGAGTAACGAATTAAGCTCCTAATCTCAGTAGTTTAATACTTCAAAGGTTTACCTGGTTTACATAAAATCTGGTGTGGTTTGGTCTGTGATCCTCCTCCATCTTGTAGCTCTACTATCTGCACTAGTGGCTTTGAAGGTTGTCAAGTGGACTGAAATGACTAGGTCACAATAGCTCATTGGTCAGAACTAGTCACATGGTTCCAATCTTACTGCAAGGAAGGCTGGGAAATGTAGTACACCATGAGAAATATTTGGAGATTACTATCTGTGTCACATCCAGATTATTAATCCAGATTATAATAGTTGTATCCTAACTGGTTTCCTTATTTCTTCCCATGTCCTACTTCAGTGCTTTCTCTACCAAGTAGCTGGAGTGCTTGGAAAAAGTGTTTCTGTTGTGATCTTGCTAATAACTCCCTTTTTGCATAAAACCTAACACTTTATCCTCACTTATGCAACTGCTGCATTATCTGGCCCTTGCCTTCCTCACTAGTCACATGATTGGTAATTAGTGTTATTGAATATTACCTATGAATAGGTATTTTGAATAGGTATTCTCTTTTGTCCAGAGTTATGAAAATGTGATTTAAGAGTGTCAAATTTATAAAATCACAATAATGGCTATAAACTGAATAATGCCAAGAGAAGTCTTAATTTATGAAGGTCTCCTTAATTACTTTGTGTGCAATTATAATCTTTTAATAAATAAGTTTTGGGGAACATTGATATATTATAAAATCCTGTTATAATGGGTAAGTTCTGTATAGTAAAGTTAAAACTTTATTATGTTTCCCTGACAATTTCTTATAGTGAATATTTTCTCTGACTAATATATATATGAAAGACTTTACATTATGATTAAATGTTTTTAAAAAATTAATAGACTTGATTTTTTATAGAGCAGTTTTATATTTAAAGCAAAATTGAGCAGAAAGTACAGAGAGTTCTCACATACCCCCATACCTACATAAATTTAACTTCCCCCACTATCAACATATGATACCACATAGTGCGTTTTTTATAGTCTATGAACCTACATTGACACATCTTTATCACCTAGGGTTTATAGTTTACATTACAGTTCACTCTTGGTCTTGCACATTTCATGGACTTTGACAATAAACGGAGTTTTAAACATGTTTCTCATGAAGTTTGTGTTTTGCCATTAAGTAGTTATTGTCCTTCAGTTATGCCTTCAACCTCTGTCATGTTTTTTCTTTAATCTGAAGCTCCTAACGAATTTAAACACACACACACATATACACACTCCCCCAAATAATTGTTTCCTAGTTGAAATGGAGTATTTTCGTAAAATAATTTGTAATCTTTCAAAATGTGTATTAGAGCAGCACACCTGCCAAAAGATAGAGGATCTAGTGTTCAACTCTTATTTTCAGATATACACTGAAAGATAGGCTTTATTTAAATTCTCGGTCATATCTGGCCTGTGAATCATGAAAATCGGGTTTTTAACAAGCTGTTTACTTTAATAAATATGTCAAAAATCTATATATTTGGTATGCTTATTTGAAATGTAGCAGAGCATTCATTGTTAATAATTTTTGACAATTTCTTTAAATTGATTTTTAAGTATTTGATGAGGTAATAGTGATTTGTTTTAACAAAACTTACAGTACAATTGAATAGCTAAGGTTTGTTACATAGATTTAGATCTAGCACAGTTTGAATGAGTTTCCTGACACATGACTGGTTTCTATGTAACACCTGGTTGCATAGAAAGGCCTCGTGCAATAGTTTTTCCATGGTGTTAGTTTTGTCATTCTTGTTTTCTTTTCTTTGCTGGCCCACTTCTATTTCAGCCCTTCAGCATTAATAAAGTATTAAGTAGCGAAGGAGATTATCCTGCTGTTGGATAAGTAATATTGAATAAAAACAGGTGTTTGTGGAATAGAAAGATAAGAAAATTTTATCTTTTCCTTTGATAAGAAATTGATACACCATTCTCAGTTCATGTAATTAGATGTTTTGGAAAGGAAATCAGGGTTGTGTGACAGGAGTCAAGGGACTTACTCAGCTGCCTCTGTGAAAACTCGATTGCCTTTGTGCTCTGACTAACAATGTATGTGTTGTTCACAGTAACTGTAGTACTGAATGGAAGTGGCTTGTAGACAGAGCAAGAGTTGGCAGCCGATGGACGTGGCTTCAAGCCCAGATTTCAGAACTAGAATACAAAATCCAACAACTAACGGATGTTCATAGGCAGATTCGTGCCTCCAAGGTATTTTCTGTGTTCTTCTATTCTTTACAAAATATTACTGTTTGAATTTCTCCTCATCTCCACACAAAATAATTGTTAAAGGTTTTGTAAAAATGTAGTTAATGTGAAGACTTTTGCTATATTAATTGCTATAAATTGAAGCTATCTTTGTAATGCCTTTGTATATATTGTGATCGTTTTATCATACTTAAGCAATTCAGAACTTTGTTGGATTCCAGTTAATAGAAGTGATACACATTTTTTGTAAACCTCTACTTTCTTGATATTTATTTTATCATATGTAAGAAATAGTGTATCTTACTGGAATTTCCTTAGATGTTTTTCGTTTTGTTTTAAAACATAAAAAATTGCAGAAAGCCATTTGATGAACGCCTGCATACCCACCCCCAAATTTATCATATATTAAATTTTTACTAGTATGCGTTTAGTTTCTAGAATAATAAAGCATTACTTATACAATTTGAAGTACTCGTATAGCCCTACCCGATCCCATTCTCTTTCCCTGTGCCCCTATAACCACTATTCTTATTCCAACATTTTTTGATATAATTATGTATTTTTTTAATTTTATTAAATTTAATCGGGTGACATCGGTTAATAAAATTATATAGGTTTCAAATGTATGTTTTTATATTATTGGCAGGTAGGTATCTATGTATTTCTACAAATAATATTTATTTTCCATGCTTCTGAAGTTTATATAAATGATACTGCAAACTCTTTTGCAACTTGCTTCTTTTTGCTCAGCATACTATTTATGCATTTTTATACCTCCTGTATGGTATTTAATTGTATTAGTGGAATAGAATTGTATGAATACAACGGTATGTTTATCTCTTCTATTTTCTTTTGATAGACAGTGTTTCCATTTTTACACCAGTAAAAAAAAACAGTATTGCAATGAGTATCTTTTAAGTGTTTTGTGAGCCAGTGGAGAGCTTTTCTCCGCTATATGTCTGCGAGTGGAAGCAGCGTGCTAGATCTTAGGCATAGCTGTCTTCAGCTTTCTTATACCCATTGATGTGATTGGATAATCGGTATTCCCACTGGCCAGCTCCTGTTTCCTCCACATTCTTGCCAACATTATATAATTTTTGACCTCTTGATTTTTCCACTATAATGGGCATGGAATATTATTTACTGTTGTTTTGTTACTGAGCATTTTGAGATTGGGCCTCAGTGTAATTAATTATCCTCTTTTTTCTTTTTTGGTCTAAGACTAACTTACCCTTTTTACTGTTTTTGGGTGGTGGTGGTAGTGTGTGTTTGTGAATTTGAACACTGTTCTTGGTCAGTTGTGAAAACTAAAAATCTCTCATGTTGTGGTGTTTACAGTCTGTTGGGAGTAAAAATTAAGTAAATGATTACACAAATAAATACTGGTTAAATGTGAACCACGGGAAATTTAACATAGGATTTCCTTAGCTTACAGATATATTGTTTCCCAAAAATTACTGGTTGTTTGCTTGGAACTTGGTATATTTTCCCATAGAAGCAATAACATAAAGAGTTCTTCTGCAATCCCATGAATCTAAATATTGCTAAATAGCTCTTTATAACTTTGTTTTTGTGGGAAACTATTCCACGTGGTGAAAATGTTGAGAAAATATTGTAGTGGAGATAATATAGTAAGCTTAATTGTGATTGTTTGGAGACAGAAAGCTGTGAAGGAAAGGAGTTCTTGAAATATGTGGTTAGTCGAGCTCCACCAACGGTCTGCACATAAATAAAGATTAAATAAGGTTCAGGCTGTATCATGTGTTTATATTCTAGTAGGAGAGATAGACCATGCAGATAGTTAGTTGCAATGTAATGTAATACATGCAGTGATATGTGTTTTTAATAACATTCAGCAGTGGCATAGAGAAATACTTAACTCTTATTTTAGAGGTTAGCAGGTCAGAAAGAACATCAGTAGAGCTGATGCCTCAGTATGACTGGAGGATAAATAATACTTTGCTTGATGAACTGATGAAACTAGAAAATAGAAAAGGACATTTCTTAAAGGTTTGAAGGCAAGAAACAACATGCTCTTTTTTAAAAATAGCAAAGTAGTATAGCTTGGAGCAGAAAGTATGAATTGTACAAGGACAGGAGAGGAAGATAGAAAGTAAGGAATGTTATTTAATGCATTGCAGAACTTGGTAGTAATTTCTGTAGGAAGGTGTGTGGAAGGAGAGAAATAAAACCTTAGGCTTACTGGCTATATCTCCTGGATTTGAGGGAACTATGTTTAAGAATAATTTCCTGATGGAAGTTTCCCATTCAATGACTGTAGTTACTGTTTCTCATTTTTTAATGGTGTCTTCACTGGGGTCTTCAGTTGTAGCGATTTCCCAGTCCTTTGAAGATTACCAAATAATATCTCCTCTTTGATCACTGTCTTTAAAGTATATATCACAAACATTTTTATAGTAAAAAGAGTTTTAAGAATGATTCAACTTTAAAACAGTTTGCAAATTTCCAAGAAAGTGAGTTCCCAGTGAAATTGATGACTAAGTTTTATGTTTGCATCTAGACTAGATCACACTGCTTTGACTTGGGAAAAGATATTTAATATTCTGTTTGTTCCATGCAGTGCTATATAATTGTTAAACTCTTCTAAAAGTTTGATTATATGTTTATATCTATTAAATAAATTGTTTTAAGGAAAAAAATGTAAACTTCCTAGTAATAATTTATATGGCCTGCTCTGGCCAGGTCTGTAAGTTGATTAGAGTATTGTTTTGATACACCAAGGGTGTGGGTTTCATTCCCAGTCAGGGCACATACAAAAATCAACCAGGGAATGCATAAATAAGTGAAACAATAAACCGATGTTTCTTCCTCTGTCTCTCTCTCCACCCTTCCCTCCTTCCCTCTCTCCCTACCTCTCTCTCTTTAAAATCAATCAATACATAACAAATGTTATGACTTTACATTTGTCCTGGGTTAGGCTAGCTGTATATCTGGCCATTTGTTCCCTTAAGAATCCCATTATATTTGCTTTATGGAAAATGTCATTAAAATTATGCTCTCAAAATACAGTATATCTTTATTTTGGTACTTTCTTCTTACATTCCTTAGGAATTAAGATGTTTAATTGCTTATTCACCTGCCATTTAATTGAGCTGTTATTATGCTTAATAGGAAAACAAGCACTTCCTTTGTCCTTGTAGCTTCTTGGGTTATTGTAAGGGAAAAAACATTGAAAGTAGCAGATATCTTGACTGAGACAGAATTTTCTGTTTAATGTATCTTGAAAACAAAGAAAAACAAATTCTTATTGGTTAAACTAGAAATAAGGGGAAGGGAAAGAGATTGAGAGATGCTCTTTTATAAATATCCTATTTAATTAAGTGCCAGTTTGTGACTGGTCAGGAAATACACATAGTAGATTTACTAGGAGTTTTAGGTCTTTAAGCTGCCATTTGCCCTTTCTTTGGACACACTCCAGGTGACCTAATTTCTCATAAATTTTTAGAAAGAAAGCAGATATTAACATATCTTCTTGTTTTTGTAACAGCTTTGTAACGCTTTACAACTTTCATATTTCTCCTTTTATCTGCTTCAGCTTTTTAGTTAGACAACAGCATCTTTTCACATTTGGGAAAAAATTACAAAAGTTATTCTTGGTTGAGAGGCTAGCTATGGCCTCTCTTTGAGATTTTCGTTTGTTAGTTATCCTGTGATAGGGTCTTCTAAATTTTAAATTGTACATTTCAGTGTTTTAAAATTTTCGTTTAAGTTTTTTGCTTAAAATTAGTCTCGGTGACTTTGTATAATAAAGGTGTAGCCAAGACAACTGTTTACTTTTTCACACTACTTGTGCCCTAAGAAGACCCTGGGAGCTGGGGTGGGGATCCCTCTAGTGTTATTATCAGAAACAGTTTTTTTCTCTGGAGCAGTGGATTTGCTATCATCTTATGCTAGAGTTTTCACTTGTCTCTGTTATCTCAATTCATTATTCTAAAGAATTTTCATATTTTTGTTACTTGCCTTGTTTTATCTATCATTGGACTTATCCTGATTTTTTAAAATTCAGTTTTATTGAGGTATAGTTGACAAACAAAATAAAAAGTGTACATCATGATTACCCAACACAGGCATGCTCTTTTTCTGGGTTTTTAAGAACAGAACCTGTCTCTGCAGTGTCTCCAGAGGACGTTCTCCTCTTCCCTTTTCTCTGTTCTTGGCCATGGCAGAGGAAAGTCATGGCCCGTTCTCGCACTGTGAGAGTTTTATCCAGGGCAATAAGTTAAGGGAAAAAATAGATTATGAAGTTGGCTACGAGTGTCTCCCCAGTTAAATTTTAAAAATATTATTTTTCACTGGACCAACTATATTAGGCCCCCTACTTATAAGAAGGTAGTTAGTATTCTAAAGGTTTATAAATTGGGCTTTTGAACTTAATATAATCAGTTTTTCCATAGAAACAATATTACAAGTAGAGGTTATAAAATCAGGCTAATTCACAGAGCCTGATCTATAATATAAACTGTAATCAAACCAAAGATAATTATAGTTAAATCGATATAGTGAAAACTCATGTTTCTTTTGCATTGAGGTCCTTGCAAAAAACTTAGTAAGAGACTTGTGCAAATTTTGAATGGCCATTTCAGATTACTTCTAAGAGTTTTTGTGATTAATGATACTATATCAAGTCTAATTTAATTTTTTAAATATCAAATAAAACAAGCTTCTTTTAAATATATTTTTTAGATTTCTTGACAGCCACATTTGTGCATACTACTTAAAATGGGATCAAAAACTGGATCTCCTTTACTTTTTAAAGTCACTTTCATTGTGTAAGAATAGGTAAAAATAATAATTTATCTTTTACCAAGTGTCATGGTAATATATTACTACAAAATCATATAAAATGTATGTTTAACAACACAGCTGACTATGTTCACTGTGAAGTTTTATAGTTTCTGTAGTATAAACTAAAACTACTTATATATTGCATATTATATTCTATAGGCAGTTTTCATCCTATAAATAGCACTTACACATGATGTAAGCTGACCTGTAGTAGGCATTTAATTTGTTCCATTTTGAAATACTATACACTTACATTAATGTTTCAGTCTGTTTTTCATTTCAAGAATATAATATTTAGCCACATTAGGCACTTAATACCTTTTTCAACTAGTCTGTGGGGGCTTTTTGGCATTTTGCAAAAATCTGCATCTACTATATATTATATAGTAACATGTATTCTGCCTTACAGGGGATAAAAAAGGGTAGAAAGGGAAGAAGTTTTGCGGTGAGAACGAAATATAAAATCATTTAGAGCATACTGGCCCTCTCTTTTCCTCCTTTCTCTTCCTGTTTCCATCGCCTCCGAGAGCCTATGGGTGAGCGCGGTTGGAGTGAACCAGCTAGGGAATGTGGGAGAAAGTTTAGCTAGCTGTTTCAAGGAAAAGTGTGTGTGTGTGCAGGGAATGTAGAGGAAGCAAGATCCCCACTTATTCCTCTGATTACTTACATTTCAGAAAAGACCCCATCAAAGTCGAAAACTTGTGTCTTTATCATTAACTCATCTACCCTAAACAACAAGAACTGTGACTGGCCTGGAGAGGCCTTTTTCTCATTCGTGCTTTCCTGCCCAGGGCTGCTGACTGGCAGCGGCAGGCTTGGGGCCTCTCCTTACAGGCTCTGAAAGGAGCTAATATAATGTTAGATTGTTGTTGGGATGTTTATAAGTTTGGTATTTTAATTTATGAAATTGAGAGTGCTCACATATAAAACTCAAACGGAGATGCTAGTAGCCACAGTATCCTAAAATTAAATCAGGAAATGCTTTAAATTTCACTCTAAAATGTTCATATTCTGCTTATAAGCCTTTATCTTTATTCTAAATGTATCATGCTTTTAATGCTAGTAATTGAAACCATTAAGAAGACAAATAACTGCATGTATGTAATTTATGACAATATTTTACAAGCTTAATCCATCAGACATATATGTTACTTTAGCTGCACATGTTTTAAATCAGCCAATTTTTTAGCGTTAAACTACTTTCAAGTGTGTGTTTTCTGATTTCCAAGGGGTAATAAGAAGCATGGCTTCAAGCACATTATAACATTAAGGGTAATTTAGCAGTCAATTTGTTTTCATTTCAACTCTCTAATTGCTGTTTGCCTAGGGGATAGTGATCCTAGACGAATGTCAACTTCCAAAAGACAATTTGAAAAAACAGATACAATTTGCAGACCAACCAACTTCATTAAATATTGCAAGGAATCCTCAGATTCCCCAGGAGAGTCAAGATCCTTTACCAGAACAAGATTTTGAAATGTCACCAAGTAGCCCTACACTGCTTCTTCGCAATATAGAGAAACAGGTAATGAGAAGAGTACAGTGTGAGTGGCGTGAATTAACTTTTAATTTATACATTTAAATAAATGTGTATCTCCTTGGGTTATTAGAGTTGGCAATCTGACATTAAATACAATTAAAATACTTAGTATATGACTTGTCTCTATTGTATTATTGATGTAATTAAGATTATTTAAATATAGTTCATAAAGTGTTAATTAGTACATAGCCATAGGATGATAACTCATTTATACTAGGGTGGGAAAATCTTTTTTTCAAACAAAATTGTCTATCATTGGACTCTTTTCAGAGGGAAAGAACACGAGTACCGCCTAATAAATCTGAATGATTATTTGAATAATTTGTTGATAGAGATTTTTAGTCAAAGATAACATTGGAATATGGGTTCTTTCATAAACATGACCATGTAAAATGAAACAAATTACTTTTTTTCTCTAATATTTGTACAAATAAATGATCATGCAAATACAAAGTCAGGTAAGTTCCTAGTAAATTTTTACTGTCCCAAATATGGACTTAGGCACATGAGATTTAATTGGGCTGAAGTGGGGTGGTTGTTCTGGTAAAACTAAGTAAGGGTTGGTTTTAACACTGTCCTCCTGGGCCAATGATCCAGACATATCTGACCAGCGACCTCCAGTGGCTTAGAGTATTTTAGATATTTTTGGAGGTAGAAAAAGAGAAGAGTGTGTCAGTGTTTCAGACTGGAAAATAGATACTCTATACATTTCTTTGCATGCATAAACTAATAAATCCTTGATAACTGGATAAAGAATTTATATTGTTGATTTTGAAAATGAGCTTTAATCTAAAAATGAGTAGTAATTCTTTTAAATATAAAGTCATTAGGTATGCATTATTTTTCAAGAAAATAAATGGTGAAAACATTTCAGGGTGTTTTTCAAAAAAGATTTTTTGAAAAATTCAAACTTTAGATTCAGTGTTCTTGAATTTCATTATTTCTAACAGCATGTTATTAGTTTCATACAAATGAGTTTTAAAATAATAGTTTTGTATACCCCTCTTCTTTATAATAGAATTCTTGCAATTAACAAAATGATGAACTTGGTCTATGTATTTTTTAAAATGCAGTCACATTATATTAAGTGAGAAAACCAGGTTATAGAAAATTGATGTGTCATGATTTAATTAAAAGGCGGTGTGTATGTGCACACACACGCATTGTATATACGCTAACGCTCACATATGCTCAAAAACCTTAGTGTAGAGATATGGATATATACCAAAATGTTAGCAATGGTTTTCTCTGCGAAGCATGAGTACAGGTGATCTTCTTTTATATTTTTAAAAATCTCTGTAATTTCCTTTTTTAAAATAACGAACATAGACTATATATGTAATTAAAATATTCTTTTGTAGAAAGGTACTGTTTCCATTGATGTGGTCTGTGTTTATTATAATTGTTTTAGATGATTATTTTGAGAATGATTTAATATTTATTATACATTACAAACATATTACATATCTTTAACTTGAGGATAAGGAAAATTTTGGATACCAGAAAAGCAGATATTTTTGAATTAGGAAAAATAATAAGAAACAGAGTAGCATAAGATTCCAGCCTGAATTCGAATCAGAGCTCCATTTCTTATCAACTTTATAGTCCCTAGTCAAGTGGCTTAATCTTTCTTTGCTTCGATTTCCTCATCTGTAATTGACCTTATCTATAGTAATATTGGTAGTTGTAATATTATATACTTTGTAGGTTGGTTGTAATGATGAGAAATATTCTAGTTCCCAATATAAATAGTACACACTTAATAAATTACAGCTATGATTTTTGTTGTTATTAATTTGGCTACCTCAAAAGAAGTATTACTAGATGTTGTTAGCTAACTTCAGATGTTTTAGAGGATAGGATGAATAGATGAGGGAACTGTAACAAAAAAGGATATGAAAAAGGAGGAGTATTTTAAAATGTAAATTTACTTGTAAGAAATAAGAGTTGCTGTCTAAATCATTTTTGTATTTTAAAATGCATGTACAGGGGTGGGCAAAAGTAGGTTTACAATAGTTTGTATCAACAACAATACAATAATTAATAAATAATACAAGAATCAACTGTTTCATATACCCACATCTGTAAACCTACTTTTTCTCAAATCTGTATTTACTAAAATACAAAGATTTACTTGTTTCATGAGAAGTTAAGCATTTAAGAGAAACTCAAGGCCTGAGCTTCAACTCACATTTCTTGCTTAGCAGCTGCCTGTTTTCTTGCAGAGTGCACAGTTGACTGAAATCATCAACAGTTTGATTGCCCCTCTCAACTTGTCCCCAACTTCATCACCCCTCTCCTCCCGATCCTGTAGCCGTAAATGTCTGGCTAATGGCATTTCCAGGAGGTAGGTGTCAATGCTATAGGTTGGCTTCTAAATTGGGCTTCACGTATTTTGGTTTTTGTCCTTTTAAGTATTACAGCTGTTTTTTCCCCTTACTTAAGCACTTTAAAGTACAATTAGTAGACCATGGATACATTTTTAGATAACATCAAACTTACATAATTAAGGTAGGTATATACCTGAAAACTTTCCAGGAAGTTTTATAATGTTTCTAAAAAAAGAAAAACAGTGATACCATTTGCTACAGATTACTGCTTTATTTAATACATCTTCCATTTGATACATTTTATATTCTTAAGCTCCATAATGCATTTTAAGAAAAAAAGATCCTAGATATGGTTTGGTACAGAAGATTGATAAATATCATTCATAAAATTCAGTTAAGTTTTACTCAGCCATTATGTATCTCAGTATTTATAAGGTGAGTTTTTTTTTCTGGATATAATTAATAATTCTATAACATTAGCAACTTACTATATGACATCATATATAAATATATAAAATCCTGATTTTTGGGGGGAACAGCATTTGTTCTCTTTTATTTTGCTTACTTTTCTCTCTTTTTCCTTTCAAAGATCCAATTATAATTAAAGATGTTAATAGAATATAATTTTGTGGCTTCATCTAACTTTTTTCCAATAAAATTGTAATGTGGAGTTCTTTGCTTTAACTACTGTAGAGGACTACATGTAATTAAGTATTGGGAAATTTTTATATTAATAATTATATGATTACTAATAAAATTTTTAAATATAGCTTAAGAGGGAAATTTGACGATGGTGAAAATTATGCTAAATAGCCATCATTCTTAATGAGACTGGTAAACCTAACCCAAGTCTTAAAATAAAAATGCTGTTATTTGCTTTTTAGTTCTAACTTACTTTAAAAGTCTAGTTTTTAACACTTTTACAGTTTTACATATACTGAGTCATTCATTGTTTTGTTAAGGAAACAGTTTTTTTTTCACTGGTTTTGCTTTTTTTTTTTGTTGACTTCATACTCATTCCTTGTATCACTGATGACTCACTTTGACAGTAAAGACTCTGACATGTTACATAAGAAAACTATGGTATATTTATTTATAAGAACATATCCTAATTAAGAAATCAGAACTGCAAGTATTAAATTGATGTATGTTCATTGATGTATGTGCATTGTGATTCGGGGCTACCTATTTTAGGTAATATTTTGTTTACTTAACTAGGTATTACACATATACTTAGGTATGTATGTGTGTGTACATATTTTCATTTTCACATACTTGCCTATATATTTGGTCATTCATTCACAAAGTATCTATTGCATCACTATTTGCTTTATGCTATATAGTCAAAGTCCTAGGGATACAAAGATGGGAAAGTCATTACTTTAAATAACTTGTAGTCTAGTAGGTGAACTATGTAATTATTTAAAACATCATATAATCATAATGGAATTATGTGCACTTGTTTGAATATTTTGTTTTTAACAGCTGTTATAGTTAAAAAAGATACTTAATAAAGATACATACGTCCAAATGAAAGAAATGGAACATTTGCTGGGTTTACTAAACCACACTTTCTCAGTTTTGTCTAATAGTTAAAATGTTCTTGTTGAAATCAGGTAGTAATTGTTATCCTTCCTGATGTCAAGCACACTTATAAACCATTTGGAAGGTTTATTTTCAGGTTTGTAAGAGGTTCAAAACCTCCTAAAATTCTTTGTTTAAAAGATTTAAAAACAGATAAAAATTGGTTCTCTACCTTTGTGAAATGTGCTATGTGATTTAATTAATCTTACTAATTTTACTAACATTAATTTATGTTTAGCACCAATCAACTTTTTTTTCAAAATACTTTTATGTAAAAAATTTCTTTCAAAAAGCATTTATTTTCACATTTATCAAAAAATTATGTTTCCCTTTAAGGAAAGATTCCTTTATTCTCTAACATTTGCTAGAAAATATAATATAGCTACTTTTCATCAAAGAGAAGGGGAGCAAATTTTAAACCTTTGCTGCCAGATAACCAGCAAACTGCTGTGTGAAACAGAAGATTTGGGATATATTCCTGGTCTTAAAATTTTTGTAAAAATTCTCTTTGCGATAATATGTACCATAAAATATATACCATAAAAACAAACACTTTTAACAAGCAACATAGAAACTGGAATATATTGCAGATAAGAGAGTAATAACTCTGAATGAAGAGCAGAAAAATTTGAGAATATGTTGTGGTTGTGTCAGATGCCTAAGAAAGGTACTGAAAAATGTCTCTTGGTTTTGTCAGTTATAAAATGAGACAGACTTGAGCGGAAGCAGTGTAGTGGCATGATGGAGAGAGTGATAAGAGCTGGTTAGTAAGGATGAAGGTGGAGATGAAGTAGAGAGAAGGAATCAAGACTATACTTTCAAGGCTGCTTGACTGTGTGGCTGTATAGTAAAATGGATGTACAAGGTCAAGTAAGGTATTTTTGTTTTTTAGATGGAAGAAGTGTAAGTAACTTTATTAAAAAAAATAAAGGGAAGGGAAAGAGCTAGAGATGAAGAATATAGAACTACATATCACAAAGTTGTGATTAAAGGACCTTATGACAGGAGAATATTTATATTCTTGAGAGTGATATGAAAGAGATTAAGAGAGGCATAGAGGCAGTTGTTTATAAAGTGATTGTAGCCAAGAGAGGAAAAGGAGTTGGAGGAGTTAGGTAAAGATTTGGATCGTCATGAAACAAGTAAAACATTCCCTCGTTTTGTACCGCTCTCCTACCTTTTATTGTAGCATGAGCAGCCCATCCCTGGAGAAAGATGTTATGTGGTTTCTAAGGGCTTTTTTTTTAAACCCCATAACAATATTGTAGAAAGTACTTACTTGATTTTGGTAAAACTAGTTACAAATGTGTACTAGTGAAATTCTACGAATTTAACAGATTATTTTACCTTATTTACATTTGAGGATATTACCATAGATTTTGAAAATGAATTGAAGAGCCCTGGGTGGTGTGGCTAAGTGGATTGAGCGCCAGCCTGCAAATCAAAGGGTTGCCGGTTCAATTCCCAGTCTGGGCAAATGCCTGGGTTGTGGGCCAGGCCCCCCTAGAGGGCGGTCAAGAGTCAACCACACATTGATGTTCCTCTCCCTCTCTTTCTCCTTTCCCCTCTCTAAAAATAAATAAATGAAATCTTAAAAAAAAGAAAGAAAATGATTTGAAGATATAATCATATAGTAATATTTGAAAATGCGTTATTTAAAGGTATCTTTATTGAAACAATGTAAAATTTATCTACTTATGGGCCTTTTGACCCTGTGAGTAATGTCAAATTAAGGCCTAGTTTTGTTTCTTGTATCTCGCTATTTTTCCAATATGTTGTTATTGGGTTTTTTTTACTTATAATTATATATGAAGAAAACTTCTTTCAGGCTCAAAATAATGTTATTCAGACTTAACACAAAGTACTTCCTGAATATGTTCCTATTGTGCATATGAACACTGTTCACTTTATGTATTTCAGTAAATGGGAAGGTAAGAAAATTCATCATTTGAGTAAGATTTTTCAATCTTGTAAAATGTATGTAATATAAAATTTGCCATTTTAACCATTTTTAAGTTTAGTAGCATTAAGTACATTCATTTTGTTGTGCAACAATGACCACCATTCATCTCCAGAAATTTTTTCATCTTCCTAAACTGAAACACCCATGAAACAATAACTTCCCATTGTTCCTTCTTTCCAGTCCTTGACAACCACCATTCTTCTTTGTGTCTCTATGATTTTGACTATTCTAGGTACCCCGTGTAAGTGAAATCATACAGTGACTGGCTTATTTCACTTAGCATAGTATCATCAAGGTTAATGCATATTGTGGCATGTGTCAACATTCCCTCCCTTTTTAAGATTGAATAGTCTATGTTGTTTTTCCATTGATCCTTAGACAAACATTCAGGTTGCTTTCACCTTTTGGCTATTGTGAATACAAATACCCGTATGAGTCCCTGCTTTTAATTTTTGGGTATATACCCAGAAATGAACTTGTTAGATTGTATAAGAGTATTTTATTGTTTATTTTGAAAATGAGAAATTATTGAATGTTGCTAATGATATTTCTAAGCTACAAGCTCAGAAAAAAATGAGCATTCAGAAAACTAAGCAAAGCACAGCAATTTTATTTTGTCTGAGGCCAAATTCTGACAAAATTGAGTTGAGGTTTTGATAGTTTTTCAGAAAAAGAGAAAAATGAAAGCTAAGTCCAGAAAAATCAAATGAAGCTTTAATAGTTTGTGGGGTTAGAGGAAAAGAAAGCCCATGGCCTTGTCTATGGTAGAGAATAAATGAAATTCTTGCCATATTTAGCTGGGACCATACTCCTCCAGGGCTACACCCTTGTAGTAAATGTAATCAAAAGGTAAACTGTTTATCTTCCCCCACCGCACTTTGGGTACCACTGAGGAGATTTGCCTCAGTGCTGAGCAAAGCAGAAGATAAAAGCAAACCTGTCTTTGAGATGGCATGACCATGGTAGGGACTTTCACGTGGAGTTTTTGGTCCAAATTGGCATCACTGAGTCATCCAAAGAATCCCTAGTGTAAAAATGGTTCTGGAGTGGATAATACTACAAGATAGATGGCAGAGGTAAATGCAGATTCTCTTTGGAGGAAGGCACCTTCTTTCTTAGCTCCAGGAAATTCCCAGGAATAATTTTTCAAGGTTGATGATTAGCACACAGTCAAATATAATCAAATGTGAGGAGATGGAGCAAGAGTGATAATAAAGAGTAAATTACAGCAAAAACAGATTATGAAGTTTTCAGATATTAGAATAATCAAACACTGTTTATTTAAAAAAAAAGTTACATGCTCTGATTTTAGAAATTAAAGGTAAGCTTGAAAATGTGTGCAGGAAGGAGACTATAAAAGTGACAGCAGACATTTGAAAAAGGTCCAAATAAAACTTCTAAATATATTGAAATTAAAAGCTATGTGACTGAGTTTGGCAGCAACATGGGCACAATTGAAGAGAGAATGTG